CTCCCCTAAACTTTACCATGGTTCCTTACCCTGCCGTCCTCCTGGACCGCCCAAGCCCGTGACCCACCATGTACATGAACCTGAGACAGCAGTGACACTCGGAGAGCTTATTGCAGTATGTCGCAATCTGACCAGCTCTGGTGTGGGGCCTGCCTTGTCCCCGCACCGTTGTTTGCCGAAGCTGGTCTGCGGCAGAGTTGTTGGACCCAGCACCCATACTCTTCCCGAGGATTGGGATAGCTGCTTGTGGTGGGCGCAGCACAGTCCATCTGTACAGGTCGACACGGGTGGAGGCACTGTCAGGAGTCACCTCACAACACCCAGCATCCCCTTCCACCTTGCAACCATTCGTCTCGCCAAGTGCATATCCTGTGCCTGGGATCACATGAAGGAGCACACGCATGGCGCAGAAGGAGGGAAGGGCATGGGCGGGCATTGCATTGCGGGACGGATCCACGGTTGACAGGGGCTATATGCAGGGAATATCATGCGGGGCGTCAGGATTTGAGGGCGCAAGGTGGGCGGCCCAAGCTCAAACACGCATGGGCTTCCGTGAGATTGCTGGTGTGTGCCAAGGGGAGGCCAGGCATGACAAGAGCTCCACCCCATACCAAAAAGGGGGGGGCGATACACGTGGGGTACGACGGAGGGTAGGACGCTGAACATTGCTGCATCAGTCTCACGGGCGCTCCGCGGCAACCACCCTCGCCGCGCTCGAGGGCGCATATAAGGGTCGAGGAACGGCTGCGGAATGAAAAGGCGGCACCGCCCCCACTCAGGCCGGTGCCGCAGGTGGCGAGCTCCTCCAGCCATGGAATTGAGGGGCTTGCACGCTCGCTCTCCTGTTGCCACAGCCGGGGTGGCGGTCGCAGGCTGAGGCTGGCCGCGAAGGCTGGCCATGCCCTTGGCAACCCCCCGGCCTCGCCAGGCATCGGAAAAGTCCCCCACTTCACCTCGCCCATCCCTCGATCAGCTGGGCGTCCCCAGCATGGCCGTCAGAGAGGAGGTCGGTCGGTGGCCCGGGCCCGGCCGCGCCATCGCCCGCATGGGCACGCTGCCCACCAGCGCCGACTGCGTCAGGAAGTCGGTCTGGAAGTCGGTCTCGATCACGGTCTCCAGCACGGGGGGCGGCATGTCGTGCCCTGCGCAGTGTGCAAGTGAGTGTGCGTGGAGAGGATTCTGGCCCGAATCCTCCAGCGCCAGGGGGTGGGCATGCTAGTGCGCATGCCTCTGCTGCACGCGTGTCCCGTCTACCCTCCGGGCCCGCGCCCGCGCCATGCCCCCCCACCTGGCACTTCGAGGAAGCCGGTGGCGCGCATGATGGCGTTGCGCGTAGTGAGCTTGTCGCGGCGGAAGGAGGTGGTGGGGCTCAGCCGGCTGCTGCCCAGCAGCTCCGCGACGTCGGTCTCGGGGCCCAGCCCCTCGCCGTCGGCCAAGAGGTGGGGGGGGACGAATCGCGGGCCCTCGCCGCGCGCAGCGGGCTTGGCCGGCCGCGGCATCATGGGGATGGAGATGGGCATGGAGGTGCCCAGGGTCAGGGCCGAGGCCGCGTCGGTCCCCGCCAGGCTGGCCTCCACGTTGGACATGTGGCGGGCGAGGCGCGCGCCGGGCCCTCCTGCCGCGTGCGAGGGGAGCGAGCCGGGGACGAAGAAGGGTGAGGGCATGAGGACGGGCTGGGGCTGGAGCGCACGCCCCGCCCCCGTCTCGCCGGACATGATGGAGGGGCTCATGTTGGCCTGGCCTGCGCTGGACTGCAGCGAGTACGTCTCGTCCCGGGTCCAGCGCTCTGCAGGGTGTGTGCGCGTGTGTGGGAGGGGGTGTCAGTGCTCAGGAATGAGTGAGGGCCAGCAGCACCCGGGATGGGCAGGCGCACGTCATATCGGGGCAGGGCGAGGCGTGGCCGGGGACCCCGGTGTGGACAGTGAGGAGGGTACTGGAGGGCATCACAGCGGCCTGGGCGGGGTTGCCGCCAGGACCATGCAGCCCCACCTCATGTTCACGATGACCCTCCGACCGTCTTTGACGCCCCACCTGACAGCTCCTCGTCGGAGTCCAGGACGATGCCATCGTCCTCGCTGTCCGATGACCCGCTCGCATCCGAGAGTGCCGCCCTCGGTCGGACGGGCGGGGAGGGCCGAGGGGGGATGGCGAGGGCGGGGGTGGGCTGGTTGGTGGAAACTTCGAGATCGTCGAACAGTTCGCTCTCTTCAAGCTCTAGCAGTCGATCATCGGGGGTGGAGCCCATGGCAGGCTGGGGCCTGCTGGGCTTCGCCGTCCTCCTCGCCCAGGACTCGGGTGAGGGTGCGCCAGAACCTTCCAGAGCAGGGATGGACGACTTGCTCAGTGTCGGAAGCATATTTGTCGACACTAGACGAAGATCCTTGCCTTCATGCCCCCCTAGCCACCCATGGCCGGAGATTGCGTCCTGACGGTGTGACTTCGCGGTAGGGTTGCCTCCGGCCAGGATGAGAGTTCGGGGTCTTACCTTGCACAGCAACTTGCCCTCAAACTGCCGTCCTCGAGCCTCGATATGGAATTCTTGTGGATTCACACCTTTGGTAGTCGGTCGAAGCTATCCTACGCCAGTCCACTTGAGCGCGTGAGGAAGGCCAAGGGCTTGTATCGGGAGCCGAGGAAGCAAACTCCTCGTGGACGTGCTACGCTTCTGACCCCTTGATCCCGCTCGAGAGTCTGAATAGTCTCTGACTTCTCGCGACGACACGGGGGAACAATACCTCATACTTCACAGTAATAACTCCCCCCAATAAATCGGCCGGGGTCGAACCGCGGAGACCTTCGGTACCAGGCCCGAGTGCGTCCATTCCGACTGAAGGGCGTGGAAGTGCGTCAAATCCACGATCTCTCTGTCTTCAAACCTCACGGCAGCATTGTGTGTGCTATCGCACCCCCGAGGCGTGCTGAGGGACGTGTAGGAGGATGCGTTACAAGCGTGTGCGCCCGCCGATGCCAACATGGCCCTCAGCTGCGCCTTGCGATCGTACTCCACGGCAGGCCCGGCCCGTATATGCTCCGTTCGATCGATTGTTGCAAGTATCACAGCCTGGGGGTGATTTATATGGGGAGCATGTTCCTGCCATCTCCTTCAAATCGCTTTTCTCAGGATGGCCGACTCGATCCAGATCTGGGGTGCTCTACGTGCGTGCGCGGACCATGTAGACACTTGTCTGTCCCAAAGTCTGCAAGCATGTTAAATTCCTTATACTCCCAAACTCTCTGCTTGAATTTATTTGTGTGTGTCCTCAACAAGATGCTAAAGTCAGGCGTCGGAAGATTTTGAAGGGGCGCCGAGCACCCTGTGGCCGTCGGTCCTGCGACAGCGAGTGCACAATGCTAGATTTCGGACAAGAGTGTCGTCAACAGTTGGGCGAAACTATGTGTCTCCCCAGGGACCATCCACAATAGTAAATCTCTTCAAATCTGCAGCGCGCAAATTTCGGGCAAAACATCTGGAAATCCGGCATGTCCCCATCAATGGATCAGAAACCCATTCCAAACCTTCGCCCTGCTTTCTCAATAGCTAAAATTGCATGCTGCCACACACATTTTAGACACGCACTTGCCTGCGCTGGTCAAGCGGGCTGTCGCACGCCAGTACGGCGCAGCAGCACCTCCCGGAACCCGTCTGGCCCACGGATATATATTTGGGGCGATAGTGTTATACACCCTGGGTTCGTGGCGTCATGGAGCCGGCGGGGCGAGCCCAACCCCCCGAGGTTCGGGGTGTGAGCCTCGTCGGCATGCCATTTGAGGATTCTTCCACGGAGAAGGCGTACAGGCACTTCAGGGCACTGTCCTGCAGGCGATGGGACAGGATTGGCTCGACTGTCACCATCATGCTCTGGATGATTGGCTTGGTGAGCATGGGCTGTGTGGGATGGCATAGAGGGGTGTTCCGGTGGGTCGCCCTCTCATGGCGCAGATGGGGTGAGCAGTCCCGTACCTGGGGAGTGGGCGCCGGCGTGTCACCTTGCACCGACTCAGACGTACCCTGCATCCCCAGGCTCGGCACGCCATCAGGCTGGTGGGGGAGAAGAAGTACATGGTCGGCCTGGCCGTGCTCAATGAGGTGTGCTCTGGTGCCGGCTGGCTCCTCACTGCATGCAGCCGCCGGCGGCGTCGGGCCGGCCTGTGGCTCGCTTTGTGGTGGGAGGAAGCATGCAGGCCCACCTCGCCACCCCTCCTTGCCCCCCTCGCGATGGCGCGGCGCCCTCGCACAGCCTGCTGACCCCCGGCTGCGGCCCCAGATATCCCCCCCGACTCCCCCCCCCTCCCTCTCGTCGCCATGCACAGGCCGCCCCGGCTATCCTGACCCTCCTCCCCGACCCTTACTTCGTCCCCGCCCGCCCCTGGGTGGTGGGAGTGGTCCGGCTCAGCCCCCTCTGGCTCCTCGGCCTGTTTGCGGGCGGCGAGGACATCGGCATCCTCCCGCGCCTCAACTCCGAGACCGGCGCGGCATTCTTCCCCCTCATCCTCCTGGCCTCCAAGGCCCTGCCCCTGGCCTTCCCCACTTTGGCCCACCCGCTCATGGTGTCCCACGACTGGCGCATCGTGGCGGCCACGCTGCCCGTCGTCGCCGCGGCCAACGCCGCCACCTGCGCCAGCAGGGCCTGGGACCCGGCGGTGGAGGCGCGGGTCAGCGCGCTGGGCCGCACCCTGCTCCGACTCTCCTCGCTGGGCCTGGGACCCGCCGTGCCGCGCCGCCTGCTGGGCCGCGACGCCACGGGCACCCTGCGCTGCAACTTTGCGCTGGACTGGCTCATGGTCGTGCTGGGCATCGCGCGGCCCCACCTCCTCCTCGCGCGAATGGAGGCCCTCAGCCGCCAGGCGTTCGCGCAAGGGCGGGGGCAGGCGGTGGGGCGCGCCCCCGCCGCCCCCTCCTGCCTCTCCCTGGCGCTGGCGCTGGGGCCCATCCTGGGCCTGGCCTGCCTGGTGGCGCTGACCCTCGCCACTGTCCCGGCCCTGCTGGGCGTGCAATAGCGGCCTGCTGGGCGGGCAGCAGCGGCCTGCGCCGCCGCGGCACCCGGTGCCATGGGAGCCAGAGCGGGGCCAGGTGCCAAACCCCCTCATTTCACAAATCTCTCTTCCCCACTCCCCCCCTAATTTCCTGCCAGGACTGCCATTGCAGCCGGCATCACTCCCTCTTTCACCTCTTTGACTGCAACGCCATGTCCTGCGCCGGGAACACACTGCGCCGTCGATTCTGCCGTGCCCCCTCTCACCCTGCTCCCAAACTGTCGCCCTCTGCTGACTGCTCATCATGTGTGTACAGGAGGTGCCAGCCGCCACCCGGTGCCGCCTGCACACCCCAGGCACGCTGGGCAGGGCAGCAGGCTTCTGGGTCGGGTGCGGCGGAGTGGGGCCCCCCCCCCGCCGCAAGGAGTGCACACCCATGCAAACTACGCCTTGCTTCCCCCTTTCCTCCCCGCCTTCCTTCGCGGCGGCGCAAAGGCAGAGCCCGAGGGCCTGGCGGCCCTCGCGCGCGGCCCCGGCCCCCCCACCACGACCTGCTGGACGCTGCCCCTGGGGTCCAGCATCCAGGTGGCGTCGCGGGCAGCCACGGGCGCCGCGCCGGGCGCGGCGCCTCCCCGCGGCGGCAGCGGGTCCAGGCCCATGGCGGCGCGGGCGGGGGCGCTGCGCAGGACGATGGACTGCGCCAGGCCGATGACGTTGCTGACCAGGAAGGAGAGCTGCATGCCGGAGGAGAGGAAGGCGGTGGCGGGGCCCATGACCCAGGGCATCCACCGCATCATGGTCTTGATGGCCTCCGTCTGCCCGCTGCCGTCGGGCTGCTGCATGCCGTCCATGCCGAAGCGCAGCGCGGCGGCGAAGGAGGCGGACACCGCCAGCGGCAGCAGGTAGAGCGGGTCGGGGGCGGAGAGGTCCGGGAACCAGAGCGCGCCGCCCTGGACGTAGGAGGGCACCTGCGCCGCGGCCAGGCAGCGCAGGGTGGAGAACACGCCGATGGCCACGGGCATCTGGGCCGCGATGCCCACCAGGATGCGGAAGGGGCCCGTCTTGTGCCCGCGGTACACCGCCTGCATGCGCTGGGCCTGCACCAGCTGCGAGGTATCAGGGGAGGGAGGGGGGAGCAGAGGAGGGATCGGTGGATCTGTTCTTTCGAGGCAGGAGGGGGCTTGGATGGAATGGAGGTGAGATCGATGGTGGGTGTCGGATGGGGCAGGGAGGAGTCTACAGGAGATTTGGGACTCAGCGCCCCGACACACATGGCGCGGCGCCCTGGGAGCCAGCCGGGGGGGCCAGGGCAACCCCCTCCGCGAGAGCGCCGCCTTCCCCCGCAGCCCTCTCCTTCCACTTGAAGCAACCAGCACACTCACCGGGGGAGTCTGGATGCCGCGCGCCGTCTCCTCCGCCATCACCGCCTGCATGGCCAGCATGTCCGGCTTGGCCTTGTGCAGGCGGTTGCCGTGGATGGTCTGGTAGACCACGGCGGGGGCCAGCAGGATGCGCTGCGCCACCGTGGCCAGGACCACCGCGTGCCACCAGGGGCCGCCCACCGCGTCGTGCGTGGCGCTGAAGAACCAGGTGATGGGGCGGAAGGGGGCCCAGACCTCGGACATGGCCTCCGCGATGGCGGCCGCCTCCGCCACCGCGGCGGCGTCCACGATGGCCGAGGGGTCCAGCAGGGAGGACGAGGGGCCGGCAGCGATGGGGGTCAAGGCCTGCGATGCCAGGTCAACACCAGCCCCGGGTGCCTCGTCCAGACTCGGGGTCAGCAGAGGCTGGGCCGCAGGACTGACGGGCTCGGCCTGCTTCCCACCCCACCAGGAGTATGACCGGGCGGAGGGTCCCCGCTCCAGAGCTTGCCAGGCCGCGCTACTCGATGCCTGGGCATCCCGAAGAGCCAAGCATGTCCAGGTAAACGAGTTTGCCGGCTGCGAGCTGGACACCAAGGCGCGAGTGGCCAGCACCACTGCTCGGCGCATCTGGCCGAGAGGGCACGGACCCAGGACCCAGCCTCACGGCAGCTGGATTCCCCACAATGCTGATATGGCTGCGGTTATCAATCTATATACAATGGAAATCGACGTGGGCAGACGGTGTGCACTTCGTGATCAGATGCAGACGTGCACGCTGTGCCAGGCTGGACAAGCATTTCAGTAGAGCTGGGCGGGGGTGGGGCATGCGTCGATCGACCAAGGAGTCCCGTCGGCTCGTAGAGGCTCGCTACATTCCCCACCGAGGCCACCACCAGGCCCTCTTTGGGCAATCAGAAGGTGAGGATTGTGTCAGTCAGGAGACTTGCGCGATTGACCAGGTGCTGGAGCTCGCGCCGTCTCTCCCCGCGCCTGCACCACTGACGGAGCAGGGCCTGCCACCTCACTCCCCACAGGTGATTCCACAAACTTAGACGTCATGGCGACCAAGCGTAAGGGAGGAGTGGGTGGCAACAAGTTCCGCCTCACCCTGGGTCTCCCCGTGGCTGCGACCATGAACTGCGCGGACAACAGCGGAGGCAAGAACCTGTACGTCATTTCCGTGCACGGCTGGGGAGCACGCCTGAACAGGCTGCCCGCTGCGGCGCCCGGCGACATGATCATGGCCACCTGCAAGAAGGGAAAGCCCGACCTCCGCAAGAAGGGTGAGAGTGCGCGAGGGAGGCCCTGGCTGCCGTGGGTACTGTGGAGGGCAGATGTGGGTGGAGATTGGCGCTGACATCACGGACAGGCCGGAATGAGTTATCTGTAGGCCTTGCCCTGGATGGTCTGCAGCCTGCCACTGGTTCCTGTCGGGCAGTGTCGGGAACGTATGGCCCGTGTGCCTGCCAGTTGCAGATCTCGAAGAGGTTCTGCCTCTGCGACCGGTAGGCGGCGGCCGCCCCAACGCCACCAGCGATGGCCATCCTGAACACATGCACGTATGCCGCACCACCTCTGCTCGACGTACCCGTGCCATATCGACCCTCCCTTCCCCCCATTCCCCATTCACCTCCGCCAGTGATGCCCGCCATCGTCATCCGGCAACGCAAGGCCTGGAGGCGCAAGGACGGCACGTTCATCTACTTTGAGGATAATGCGGGCGTGATCGTGAACACCAAGGGCGAGATGAAGGGCTCCGCCATCACCGGCCCCGTGGCCAAGGAGTGCGCCGACCTCTGGCCCCGCGTGGCCGCCGCCGCCAACACCATCGTCTGATGGCTGTCACCCCCCCTCTGTAACTCTCTCGCCGGGAGCACAATGTTTGGGGGCATCGTGATGAGGGGTTGAGTGAGGGGGCGGTAGAGGCGGCAGAGTGGATCACAATACTCTGCCCGTCGGCTGGGGAGCGGGCATGGAGGGCGAGCCTGGTGATGAGCAACGTGGGTTACATTTAGCGCAGAGCATCTCTGCTGTGCGCTCCACCAGGCAGTCTTGGGGCAGCAGTATACACTCCAAGATGAGAGAGAATAATGCACAGGGGGGGATGCGGAGTGTGGTGAATGCCAGCAGGAAGAGGGGACTGGGTATCCGACGCTGAAAAGGTGACCAGCATTCCGTCCACCTCCCCGGCTGCTAGACCCTGCAGCACACCCGGGACCCCGTATTTAGGTAGCCACGATTTTGGGCCCCGCTGCCCCACCTTCAGCAGCCAGCGCGGGACGCAGCCCTCCCCCGGGCCCGTCGCTGGGCGGCGGCGGGGGCGGCGACGGCGGCTCCAGCGGCTCCACCTCCGGCTCAGGTGCCGCGCCGGCGGGCGCCTCGCCGGCGGGCGCCTCCCTGGCGAACCCGTCCCTGAACTTGTCGATGTTGCGCAGCTCCGCGGAGCGGTAGGGCCGCTCGCCCAGCAGCGCCTCTAGCTCCTCGGTGCCCAGCACCTCGCGCTCCAGCAGGGCCTGCGCCATGGCCTCCACGGCGCCGCGCTTCTCCTCCAGCAGGGCCAGGGTGCGTCGGTAGGCCCCCGCCACCAGCGCGCGCACCTCGCCGTCGATCAGGCGCGCGGTGTCGTCGCTGTAGGGCTTGTTGAAGGCGCCCTCCTCCTGCGGGAAGGACACCAGGCCCACCGCGTCGTTCATGCCGTACACCGCCACCTGGGCGTAGGCCATCTTGGTCACGCGCTCCAGGTCGTTCTGGGCGCCGGTGGAGATGCGGCCCAGCATGACTTGCTCTGCGGCGCGCCCGCCCAGGGCCATGGCCATCATGTCCGCCATCTGTTCCCCCGTAGCCAGCAGGTTCTCGTTGGGCAGGTACTGGGCAAAGCCCAGGGCCGCCGACCCGCGCGGCACGATGGACACCTTGAGCAGCGGCTCCGCGTGGCGCAGGAACCAGCCCACAACTGCGTGCCCGGCCTCGTGGTAGGCCACGGTGCGCCGCTCCTCCCCGCTGATCACCTTGTTCTTCTTCTCCAGGCCCCCAATCACGCGGTCCACCGCCGCCTCGAACTCGGGCATGCCCACCGCGCGCAGGTCGCGGCGCGCGGCCACCAGTGCCGCCTCGTTCACCACGTTGGCGATGTCGGCGCCGGCGAAGCCGGGGGTCAGCGCCGCCAGGCGCTCCGAGTAGAACCCAACCTCCTTGTCTAGTGTGATGCGCGCCAGGTGCACGCGGAAGATCTGCTCCCGCCCCGCGATGTCGGGCCGGTCCAGGCTGATCTGGCGGTCGAAGCGCCCCGGCCGCATCAGCGCCCGGTCCAGGATGTCGGGGCGGTTGGTCCCCGCCAGCACCACCACGTTGGCGGTGGTGGAAAAGCCGTCCATCTCCACCAGCAGCTGGTTCAGCGTGTTCTCGCGCTCGTCGTTGCCGCCGGCAAAGCCGCCGCGCCCGCGCGCGCGCCCGATCGCGTCGATCTCGTCGATGAAGATGATGGAGGGGGCCTGGGCACGGGCCTGCGCAAACAGGTCGCGCACGCGCGCGGGGCCCACCCCCGACAAACACTCTCCATGAAGTCGGAGCCT